CAAGTCTGTCTTTGTATCAGATATGCATCCTTCAGTTTCTTTTACAATAAGTCCCAACAAAATCCAGCATTTCGCATGGAAAACACACACATTAAGCTGGAGAAGGGGAACTCTACTGGATGGAGACTGAAACAGTACAAAGACAGAGGATACCTGTCAGTGTCCATCTGACTATAACAGGGGGTCAATTACAGGGTCCACAGGTACCATCAGCTACACACTTGAAGGGGACAGTGGAGTGTACTGGTGTGAGTCTGGATCAGGAGAGTAATGCTGTCAACATCACATTGCATGGTATGACTGTTGTACTCCATGAAAATTGTCATTGTAGAATATAATGCATTATGAGATACAAGCTCAAACGATGTTGTTCAATTGTGTGATGTCTAAGGTGATGTTGATTTAATGTATGCTGATTTACAGTGTAAATATATTCTTGCTGTGATCCTGGAAAGACCCATGTTTAATGTTAGTGTTAACAAGCATAGGTTTGGAGGTGCAAGCTTTGACAGATCGTCTGATATCAAGTCAGTTGTCAAGATATTTATGCTGTATCTATCTACAGCAATGTGTCCACTAAATTCTATTTATTCTCTACACCTATTTAATTTAGTGTTTTCTTTGACTCTTGGTCTGATGGTGTTTCGTGGTTCTCAAAGTCTCTCCAGTCCCAGCTTCTGGATCGTCTCAATCAGTCCCAGTTTGGGGGGTGATTGTGGGTCTTGTGGTCACCTGTGTTTTACTGGTCATTCTACTGATCCTGCTATGTCTATATAAAAATGTCAAAGGTGAGACCTTTACTAGAATTTAGATGTGCTGGCACTACTAAAAGACTTCTCTGGAATGGGGTGCTTTTTTGGTATTCCCCCCAAAAAAGGAACGGTGATAGCATCTGTCATAAATGACCGTAACAACAATGTTTTTAATTCAAGGTGCTCTTATTATTTAAAAAAGCGGACAAAGCTTGCCACGCTTTTAAAAAATACATTTGTTACCTCTTACCAAACTCCATGTGGTGATCTGTTGCAGGTACTTGAGGGGGACGGAGGGACACCCCATCAGAGGAGGAGCAGGAGCAAACTGGAACATTAATGTTTTTATGCATGCACACACATGCATGGCTTTGCACACACGCAGCCATGTACACACACATGCACGCAGCTGCACACATGCATGCAGCCACGTACACACCGCACCACACACACACACAAAATAACAGCTTGTACATGAAGGATTTTAAACATATTTTATGATATACTTTATTGAGTTGTGGTTGAATCATAGTTTGATTGTGTTGAACTATAGACTGCTTGTTCCTCAGTAAAAAAAAATTGAGAGCATCTGAGAGGCAGTCAGTGACAGTTCATATGATGTTTGATGTTTTCAAAAGTTTTGTGGAAGGCTGATGACTCCTGGTTGGTTGCCTCTGACAATGGCACTTGCCAATACCCCTTACAGAGGTAGGGTGAGGTACTTAGCAGTGCTCAATAAGCTTAATAAAATAATCCCTTCTGAGCAGCATAGGGTAGAGGTCAACTGTTGAAATGGAGGTTTGAATCCTGATATCCATGCAAAACCTAGGCATGATGTGAAGTGTTTTGTTTGTCTTTTTTTACAATTATTTTATTTATTTTTTACCTAAACTCAACCTTTTCGGGGTTCTTGCATCATTGAAGTCAAAATTGGACATTTATGGCAGATAAAATCCAACATCTGCGGTAAAAAGTTAATGTTGCCCTTCCATAAAAAACCACTGAGAACCCTGTAGATGGCACTTCACGGACCACGGTATAGGTAAATAGCAGACAAGGCATAATTAGGTAAAATATGAATCACATTCTACCACTGGGTGGCACTAACAGCATACAGATAGCCAATAGATTGCAGGCAGCCGTGCAAACATTTTCGGTTTTTATAGTTGAAAATCCACAGAAGGTCTGCACCCAATGTTTCACTAGCCCGTATGTGATATGATGTTCATTTGGTCATACATTGGTAAAGACAATCCCAGCCTTGAAACATTTTTGTGGCCATGGAAGGAAATGCAAGAAAACAGGTACTGTACCTCACTTGTGTTGTGGTTGATTATTTGTGTTGTGTTGGATTGTCAATCGGGCAGCTCAGTCATAGTCTACACTACCGGTCAAAAGTTTTAGAACACCTACTCATTCAAGGGTTTTTCTTTATTTTTACTGTTTTCTACATTGTAGAATAATAGTGAAGACATCAAAACTATGAAATAACACATATGGAATCATGTAGTAACCAAAAAAAGTGTTAAACAAATCAAAATATATTTCATATTTAAGATTCTTCAAATAGCCACCCTTTGCCTTGATGACAGCTTTGCACACTCTTTGCATTCTCTCAACCAGCTTCACCTGGAATGCTTTTCCAACAGTCTTGAAGGAGTTCCCACATATGCTGAGCACTTGTTGGCTGCTTTTTCTTCACTCTGCCGTCCGACTCATCCCAAACCATCTCAATTTGGTTGAGGTCGAGGGATTGTGGAGACCAGGTCATCTGATGCAGAACTCCATCAATCTCCTTCTTGGTAAAATAGCCCTTACACAGCCTGTAGGTGTGTTGGGTCATTGTCCTGTTGAAAAACAAATGATAGTCCCACTAAGCCTAAACCAGATGGGATGGCGTATCGCTGCAGAACGCTGTATTAGCCATGCTGGTTAAGTGTGCCTTGAATTCTAAATAAATCACAGACAGTGTCACCAGCAAAGCAACCCCACACCATAACACCTCCTCCTCCATGCTTTACGGTGGGAAATACACATGTGGAGATAATCCGTTCACCGACACCGCGTCTCACAAAGACACGGCGGTTGGAACCAAAAATCTCCAATTTGGACTCCAGGCCAAAGGACACATTTCCACCGGTCTAATGTCCATTGCTCGTGTTTCTTGGCCCAAGCAATCATCTTCTTCTTATTGGTGTCCTTTAGTAGTGGTTTCTTTGCAGCAATTCAACCATGAAGGCCTGATTCACACAGTCTCATCTGAACAGTTTATGTTGAGATGTGTCTGTTACTTGAACTCTGTGAAGCATTTATTTGGGCTGCAATTTCTGAGGCTGGTAACTCGAAATAACTTATCCTCTGCAGCAGAGGTATCTCTGGGTCTTCCATTCCTGTGGCGGTCCTCATGAGAGACAGTTTCATCATAGCGCTTGATGGTTTTTGTGACTGCACTTGAAGAAACTTTCAAAGTTCTTGAAATGTTCCATATTGACTGACCTTCATGTCTTAAAGTAATGATGGACTGTCGTTTCTCTTTGCTTATTTGAGCTGTTCTTGCCATAATATGGACTTGGCCTTTTACCAAATAGGGCTATCTTCTGTATACCTTGTCACAACATAACTGATTGGTTCAAACGCATTAAGAAATTCCACAAAGTAACTTTTAAGAAGGCACATCTGTTAAATTAAATGCATTCCAGGTGACTACCTCATGAAGCTGGTTGAGAGAATGCCAAGAGTGTGCAAAGCTGCCATCAAGGCAAAGGGTGGCTATTTGAAGAATCTTAAATAAAATATATATTTTGATTTGTTTAACACTTTTTTCTGGTTGCTACATGATTCCATATGTGTCATTTCATAGTTTTGATGTCTTCACTATTATTCTACAATGTAGAAAATAGTAAAAATAAAGAAAAACCCTAGAATGAGTAGGTGTGTCCAAACTTTTGACTGGTAGTGTAGGTGCAGTATATTTAGCCTATATCATGAGTCTAATGCAGGGTTGGGTAGGTTACTTTCTAAATGTAATCCGTTAAAGTTACTAGTTACCTGTCCAAAATTGTAATCAGTAACGTAACTTTTGGATTACTCAAACTCAGTAACGTAATATGATTACTTTCAGTTACTTTTGGATTACTTTCGCTTTAATAGGCATTAGAAGAAGACAAAAAGGATCCATCAAATGCATTTGGTGTTTTATCATACTGGTCTCTGACTTGTGGCCAGGTGGAACAAACTTAAACTTGTGCCTTTTTTCAATGCTGAGTTGAATGTCATTGCGAAAACAAAAGTGTCATTAGGTATTTTTCCCGCAAAAATCCTTCCTAAATTTAAAAGTAATCCAAGAAGTAATCAAATTTGTTCCCCAAATGTATCTAATCTGATTACAATATTTTTGCTGGTAAGGTAACTGAATAGTTTTTTGGGGTTTTGTAAGCAGATTACATGTAACTGATTTAAATTGTATTCTGTTACTTGTAATCAGTTACTCCCCAACCCTGGTCTTATTCATAGTTTTATTTGTGGTAAATACATTGCATCCCACAGGGTTAGCCATTACACAACAGTGTGTAAATCATTCCAACTTGGGTGGATACAAGGACAATAACAGTAAGCAAAGGTGTTCCCTAACTCCAAGGCTGTGCGACAGCAAATGCAACCTATTTTAGATCGATGAAAAAGCCATTTTACATGCTGGTGATAAGCTACATACGTCAAACTATTTTCTTTGTGTCCTCCTTTGACACACAACTCCCCTCCTTTTTGAAGCACGATTGTAGGAAAAGGTTAGGCAAAAAACTAAAGTGAAGGGGATGTTTTGTTTGTGTATAAACAGGTCCTAATCAATGATGAAGTTTGAAATTGAGTTATCAATACGTTTAAATTCATTATCAAAGAGCTGCATCATAACCAAATATATTAAATCTTTTTTATCCAGCTACTGAAAATGCTGATTTTTGTCTGAGAAAACACAAAGTCAAAGTACTGTGTATTGGAAAAACTCCAATTTGGTTAACCCTCTCAAGTCTCAATTGCATGCCTTCCTCTCTCCTCAGTCTAAATTTGTATTTAATAGTGTTATCCGTGAACTAATACAACTATTTATCCATTCCCATTGTATTATTAAATTAATGCAGCCCAGCCAATGGTTTACACAAGTGTCAGGACATGAACCCTCACCCAAATAAAGATATTCTGTTTTTTTTAATCCAATTCAGCTCATGAATCACAGAAGCAAACAGAGTTGAGGTGTAATTCACATCTCACAAATGTTTTATCACAGCCCAGCCTCAGACCCACGTAGCACCTGTCGGGTCACACCTGACGTAGGTGGCCCCAGATAAAAGACTGGTACCTCACCCTGCAGATTGCAAACTACATCTCATCATTGAAAACTACATACTTGAGAAGTTAAATAATTTGTATCATATATTTGGTTGAAATAGTTTAAATAGCCTGATTTTACCCATCAAGATGGTACAACCTTCAACTAACCTTTTGAGGATTACACAATTCATCTTAATATTTGCCATCTCAGGTAATAAAATGCATCCAGTTCAGTAGGTACAACATTATTGTTGCTTTATGGAAAAAGGAAGGTGAAATGTTTCTGAGGCTAGAAGTTGGAGGTATTTTAACTATTACCTAATGTTTAATGCATATATTATCAATAATATATATATATATATATATATATATATATATATAATATGAATGTACAATATTATATACCTCATATACCTTTATAGTATTGAAAAATGATATCAATTTTACAATGCAATCTCTATCAAAAACCTGGTGCATACTGTATCGGTACTTGGGTAGCACTTAAATGACAGGAAAATCGAAGACTGATTTTGAAGTAATCAATCCCTTCAACTATGGTTATATGACGTTTGTCTGATATCAATTTAAATATACTATACCACTATATATTAGGGTATGATATATAAAAGTATCTGTACACATTTTGTATAGTTAGCCTATAACATTATTAATATGATATATGCTTGATTCAGTAAGCCATCTACCTTCACTGTCTATTTTCAAAGATTGTGTATTCAATGGCATATACCGGCTCTCAGAAAGACCAGCAGATGGAAATATTATGTCCCTAGAGCCAACTCAAAACACATATATATTGTGATGACTATGAAATTATTATTGGATATCAAAGTAGACAGGCTATTATTTGGCCCAACGTGATTGTTCTGGCGTTGATTCAGGTGTACTTGACTGATTTTGAGTGGGAAAAGATGCCCTATTTTCTGTGACTTGATAATACTATTATTTTGAAATATATCAATAATTCAATTCAGTCTACTTTGGTTTGACTCATTTGAGCAAAAAGGACAATGGTCCTTGTATACTGAAGTCCTAGTCCCAACCCTAAATGCCTTGCATAATAATGACAGTTATGGAATCGCTCAAGAGTATTCTCTACAGTCAGAACTCCATGAGCTGAGCTTCTCGCAACAACTAATTAACAAAGTCAATCTAAGTGCTAACACTTTTGAGAGGGGTATTGTACTTCAATTGATGTCTGATGCGGATAGAGTAATTTAAAGATAAAGAGTAATGAAGATAGAGTAGTCCAAATTAATACCACACCTTTTTGAATAGCTGATACCCCATTATGATTCTTATCTTTCCTAATGGGCCACCAGATTTGCTCACTGCATTACTTTTATATACACTCTCAAACTTAGCCTGAAGACCCGACGTTAAATTGCATTGAATTCAACGTCGGGCATCCTTAGCGTTTGGATAAGGAACGTTTTCTCTCACGACCTCTACAAGCCAGAATGTTAAATAAAATGAGATTTTAATTTATTTACGGGTTGTCCGCGTGGTTGGTCCTTTTGCAGGTAGGAATGTGAGACTATATATACACAGGAAAGTATAATTACATAAACTTTTCAAATCGCTGATTGTGCGTTCAGATTTCTATCACCTGAAGCATGCGCACAAGATAAAAATACATGCAGCGAGACGCATGCATACTTGCCAAGCTTGTGCACGTGTTTACATGGTTCTGTGCATGCTTCAGTTGATAGAAATCTGAACGCACTACCAGGGCTTTGAAAAGGTTATGTAATTATACTTTCCTGTGGATATATTGTCTCACATTCCTACCTGCAAAAGGACTAACTGCACGGACAACAGGTAAAGTAAGTTAAAATAGAATTTTATTCAACATTCTGGCTTGTAGAGGTCGTGAGAGGAAACTTTACTGATCATAACACTCATTTATACCTAACGTTGAATCCTTTGGAATCTCAAACTATACAGCCAACAGCTCTATGTGTGTGCTACAGATGTATGATCTTCATTTGATCACTCTTTTGTTGCTGAGAATGTTCCTGCACAGCAGGAAATGCACAATTGTAGTATATTCAAGGTTTAAAAAGGCTTCTAAAGTTTGTAATTTCCACTTTAAAATATCAGACTTGATTTTACCTAACAAAGAATGTATCAACCCCTACAAAAATGGTCCATTAATAATCATTCACATTTCCTGTTGATGCAGATTATTTTCCTGCTGTAGCAAACTGGCTCAAATTAAGATCCTACATCTGTTAGCACTTTAGGCTACCTCAAATATCCTCTGATTCCCAAGTCCATGTTACACCCATAGCCTTAAATTATCCACTTGAGTAAGGTGTATCTTTTTGCTTGCCACAGGTGCCCTGTCTGCCAGCTTCTTTCGAGTGCCCCGCTCATTCACTACAGCAGGTATGAGCACCGCCCCCACAGCAAAAATGGCCTTCCAGTTGGGCATAGAGATCACCAATCGTGTCTTCAATAACTCCCTATTGAATCCCAATTCCGAGGACTACAAGAAAATGTATGGCGAGATCAGCCAATTGGTAAGATTGAGAACCATGCCTTGAATTAAACAACACCACTATATAAACTATACCACAGCATGGGCCGTTCTGGCTCAGACAAGGCTTACTTACTTACCTACACAATTATCACAGCAGGAATGATCTCTAAAAGTGATGGTCTCATGACAATGATGAAAATTGTGAACTAATTTAGTATTTTTCAGCTTGCTGATGTCTACACGTGTCCTACATGCGGAACAGCATCCAGTTATGGGGGCATTGTAACAATGACTTTCAGGTACATTAAGCTTGATTAAGTCACCTGGATCCTTTAGATCAGCTTTTGAGAGGATGTGTAACTAAAGTACAAACTTACTGCATTTATATCTGTTCTTGACAGACCGAAACTTGAAATTATGACTTGGAATGACTTGCCTCGTCTAAACTATATAGGCTTGTCAAAATTATACCTTCAATGTTGCAAGAACCTTAAGGTTAAGTTTTGGTGGGTTGGGGTGGTGTTTAAAATAGACATATCAAACTTTGGAACAAAATAAAAACACTGAGGGCCCGAACTTGTGATCTTCTGGTTTACAAGACGTGTTTAATGCCCGCCTCCACCTGGTCAAGGTTGGGTGGGGATATGTTATTATACTGTATCATATTTAACATTCTTCATTTTCTGAATCTTATCTTTTACAGAAATGGATCAGTGATAGCAGACACTACCATCGTTTTCAACACAACTTCTATCAATCGTTTTGTGGTCATGTTTGTATTCCTGGAATATATCAGTGACAATCCTTCTGTCCTCCAGATAAATGGAAATTATACCGAATGTAAGACATACAAATATACCAATTGTATTTGTCCATCATTTAATATTGATTAATTACTCTGAAATATATTTTTTACCTGAGTGAGTTCCCCTTTTCTCTGTTCAGATCAAGCACCACCAGCATCAGTCGTGGTTCCAAACATAACCATCCCCACCACACCTACTACAACAATAATTACAACTCCCATGACTACAACCACTACTAACCCACCAAAAACCACACCATTTGCTACAAATACAACTATGAAAGTTCCAACAACCTCCACCTCATTGGCTCCAGCTACAACTATGAAAGTTCCAACAACTTCCACCCCATTGACTACAAATACAACTATGAAAGTTCCAACAACTTCCACCCCATTGGCTACAAATACAACTATAAAAGTTCCAACAACTTCCACCCCATTGGCTACAAATACAACTATGAAAGTTCCAACAACTTCTACCCCATTGGCTACAAATACAACTATGAAAATTCCAACAACTTCCACCCCATTGGCTACAAATACAACTACAAAAATCCCAACAGCAACCACCCCATTGGCTTCAACTATTACTACGAAAGATCCCTCTTTTGAAAAAACCACACAAGATCCAATTGCAGTTGTAACCGTCTCTTCCACTATAGGCAGTGGAAAGAGAAACAATAGTGTACGCAGTACATCCAGTCCGACAAATACGTCATCTTTAATAACAAGTGGTGGTTCAGGAGGAAACTACAGGACCAATACAACTCACCCACCCACCACAAGACATGGTGCCAGTCCTTCACCTGGGACGGTGGACCCAGCAAAAAACAGTAAGAGACCAACCATCTCCCCATCCGGTGAATTAACCAAACGTCCCCCGACGCCTTTCATCGGGCCTCAGTCAAGCACCACAACTAAATCTAGCACAGCTGCCAACGCAGCATCCAGGGATAATAGTGGTGGGTTCAGTGACTGGGTACCGGGATGGGCCATTGCTCTGTTGGTGTTAGCCGCTGTCATCCTGCTGCTCCTCATAATCATCTTCATCATGATGGTGAGTAACCTGCATGGTATTTTGTGTCCATTCTAAAAATATATACTTTGTGACACATTAACGGCAACAGTTTTCCTCACTGTCTGATAGCGTTCTTATATGTTACTCTCTCAACAGGTGGTGCGCTGGTGCTGTAAAAGGTCAGAGGATCCGTATGCTCATGAAAAAAAGGGCATCCCCAACATGGACACTTTCCCCACATATGTCCCACAAGCCCCTGTACAGGAGCAACCCAATGGAAAGACCTTTGAGACTATTGTAAGAATGCCTCTCAACATGAAGTCTGATCATGCACTTATGGTGGTCTACCTCAACATAGCCTTTATCTGCCATTGGCTCTGGAAATTTAGAATATTATAGCTGCTAATATTACTAATACTACATTTAGTGCAATACAATACAACTTTATTAAATGTATCTGGCCCCCTCAGTAATTTCGATCATACTTATCTTGAGCAATAACAAAAGAATAGGAACAATATTGATTTTGACCATCTGCAATCCAGCTTCGTCTTTCATCTGAGAGGTCTTCCTTTTGGCTTTGGCCTTCCTATCTCTGAGTAAAGTTTGTTATCAAAGCACTTTAGTGTTCCGGAGGTAAGAACTCAAGTGCAACTTTTTGTCTAAAGCTGTGGTTATCTCATTAGCCACAGATGGAGAGAGCCATATAGTGGGGGAAACAACCACATCAAGGCAACAGCTGCAAACTAAAAAGCCAGAGTGAAACACTATAAGCCAAATATTTTATTACTGTGAGTGTTAAAAAGTATATTGGACTAACAATGAAATTCAGCTATAAAATGTGCATACGTTTAGTGTGGATGGGGTAATCTGACAGTAGACACTATAGGAAGGGGTGTTTAAATAGGAAGCTCTGAAATGAATGCATCTGTCTGATACTGAGTTATATCTCTCAACAGGATGACCCAGGAAAGAAGAAAAAAACAGGCATGTACATAGTGAACCCCTGAGCAAGAAAATGTGGAGGTCCCATACCAACAGGTACCTAAACCCAACACAGCTCCTGATTGGTGGTTTTAACAGACCCACAATCTAAGACCGTTCTGGATTGATTGTGAATGTTATGTCACTCTAAAATACGGCTTAAAATATCATTGACATGTGACATACAAATAACATATTGCTATTGTTAGTAATACATATCAAATCAACCTCATAATACTGTTCTACATTGTCTTTTACAATGATTTATGTCGAAATGCAAGTATTATATATACAGAGAGCTTTCAACTGACTTTTTGATTATTATAAATGTCCTGGTACGTAGGTTTAATTTGTCTGCAGCAGATTACATACAAGCAGAGCACACACATACATCAAATTATACACTACACAGTGGAGGGAGGTAATCACATTACAGGAATCTATGCAAATCATTTGCAGCACAATCATGGCTAAGATATACAGTGGGGAGAACAAGTAATTGATACACTGCCGATTTTGCAGGTTTTCCTACTTACAAAGCATGTAGAGGTCTGTAATTTTTATCATAGGTACACTTCAACTGTGAGAGACGGAATCTAAAACAAAAATCCAGAAAATCACATTGTATGATTTTTAAGTAATTAATTTGCATTTTATTGCATGACATAAGTATTTGATCACCTACCAAGCAGTAAGAATTCCGGCTCTCACAGACCTGTTAGTTTTTCTTTAAGAAGCCCTCCTGTTCTCCACTCATTACCTGTATTAACTGCACCTGTTTGAACTCGTTACCTGTATAAAAGACACCTGTCCACACACTCAATCAAACAGACTCCAACCTCTACACAATGGCCAAGACCAGAGAGCTATGTAAGGACATCAGGGATAAAATTGTAGACCTGCACAAGGCTGGGATGGGCTACAGGACAATAGGTCCCCCTGCTCAAGCCAGCGCATGTCCAGGCCCGTCTGAAGTTTGCCAATGACCATCTGGATGATCCAGAGGAGGAATGGGAGAAGGTCATGTGGTCTGATGAGACAAAAATAGAGCTTTTTGGTCTAAACTCCACTCGCCGTGTTTGGAGGAAGAAGAAGGATGAGTACAACCCCAAGAACACCATCCCAACTGTGAAGCATGGAGGTGGAAACATCATTCTTTGGGGATGCTTTTCTGCAAAGGGGACAGGACGACTGCACCGTATTGAGGGGAGGATGGATGGGGCCATGTATCGCGAGATCTTGGCCAACAACCTCCTTCCCTCAGTAAGAGCATTGAAGATGGGTCGTGGCTGGGTCTTCCAGCATGTCAACGACCCGAAACACACAGCCAGGGCAACTAAGGAGTGGCTCCGTAAGAAGCATTTCAAGGTCCTGGAGTGGCCTAGCCAGTCTCCAGACCTGAACCCAATAGAAAATCTTTGGAGGGAGCTGAAAGTCCGTATTGCCCAGCGACAGCCCTGAAACCTGAAGGATCTGGAGGTCGTCTGTATGGAGGAGTGGGCCAAAATCCCTACTGCAGTGTGTGCAAACCTGGCCAAGACCTACAGGAAACGTATGATCTCTGTAATTGCAAACAAAGGTTTCTGTACCAAATATTAAGTTCTGCTTTTCTGATGTATAAAATACTTATGTCATGCAATAAAATGCAAATTAATTACTTAAAAATCATACAATGTGATTTTCTGGATTTTTGTTTTAGATTCCGTCTCTCACAGTTGAAGTGTACCTATGATAAAAATTACAGACCTCTACATGCTTTGTAAGTAGGAAAACCTGCAAAATCGGCAGTGTATCAAATACTTGTTCTCCCCACTGTATTTGAGGTTAAGAATTAAATAGACATGTTTTCATTGTGTTTAGTGTCAATGTGCACAGTGATGGAATGATGGAACACTTTCAATCTAATTCGCAACGTGTAGTTTAGTTTTCTTGACATCCAATAGGCCTGATATGGGTAGAGAGGATTTTTACAGTTAAATCCATTTAAAACAGTTTGTCTTTCCTATTTAATATCAGATTATATTGGATCAATACCCAGTATGCACATTCACAGCAACGCTGTAATATTGTAATATTGGCATGAACATGCAATTTCACTATTGGGAAAATCAACAGTAGGGACTTAGTTCCATACTATGGGTGAGGATCTTTATGTATAGGGCTGGTTAAGCCCACAGGACCTAAAGCAAGCCAAAATCCACATGAAAGATAATGACATGCTTGATCAAGAAAATAAGAATCTATCTGATATGATAGACATTAATGAACATCTTTAGTAAATGTATGTTTATTTAACTGATCATCTGTTTATTTTTCCAGGCAACTCTGGTCTGCAGAACAAGCAGCTACAAGCAAAACAAAGTTCCAGCCTCTTTAGATACTGTATACAGTGGGGAGAACAAGTAATTGATACACTGCCGATTTTGCAGGTTTTCCTACTTACAAAGCATGTAGAGGTCTGTAATTTTTATCATAGGTACACTTCAACTGTGAGAGACGGAATCTAAAACAAAAAATCCAGAAAATCACATTGTATGATTTTTAAGTAATTAATTTACATGACATAAGTATTTGATCATCACCTACCAACCAGTAAGAATTCTGGCTCTCACAGACATTTAAGTCATTTAGCAGACGCTCTTATCCAGAGCGACTTACAGTTAGTGAGTGCATACATTATTTTATTTTTTTTCATACCCCCCGTGGGAATCAAACCCACAACCCTGGCGTTGCAAACGCCATGCTCTACCAACTGAGCTACATCCCTGCCGGCCATTCCCTCCCCTACCCTGGACAACGCTGGGCCAATTGTGCGCCGCCCCATGGGTCTCCCGGTCGCGGCCTGCTACGACAGAGCCTGGATTCGAACCAGGATCTCTAGTGGCATAGCTAGCACTGCGCCACTCGGGAGACCTGTTAGTTTTTCTTTAAGAAGCCCTCCTGTTCTCCACATATTACCTGTATTAACTGCACCTGTTTGAACTCGTTACCTATATAAAAGACACCTGTCCACACACTCAATCAAACAGACTCCAACCTCTACACAATGGCCAAGACCAGAGAGCTATGTAAGGACATCAGGGATAAAATTGTAGACCTGCACAAGGCTGGGATGGGCTACAGGACAATAGGCAAGCAGCTTGGTGAGAAGGCAACAACTGTTGGCGCAATTATTAGAAAATGGAAGAAGTTCAAGATGACGGTCAATCACCCTCGGTCTGGGGCTCCATGCAAGATCTCACCTTGTGGGGCATCAATGATCATGAGGAAGGTGAGGGATCAGCCCAGAACTACACGGCAGGACCTGGTCAATGACCTGAAGAGAGCTTATGTCATGCAATAAAATGCAAATTAATTACTTAAAAATCATACAATGTGATTTTCTGGATTTTTGTTTTAGATTCCGTCTCTCACAGTTGAAGTGTACCTATGATAAAAATGTAAGTAGGAAAACCTGCAAAGTCGGCAGTGTATCAAATACTTGTTCTCCCCACTGTAGTTTGTCAGGAATTGAGTATGTTATATTTCAAGGATGAAAATGATCGTAACGAATGGTTTCATACGTTTTATTTATTACACAATGTTTGCGCATAAATATTGGGCAACCTTGCTACTATTTTTGTACTGTATCTGATGTCATCATCTTTGACCCTGTTATGAACACAACCAGCGTCAAGCTGATATATTTTTTGAGTCTGTTATATTCAGATTTTTCATTGGTACAAATATCTCAGAAGTTTTGCTTTGCATCATGTTCAATTGTATAATGCTAAAGTTAAAGGTTTAAAAAAAAAAAATCAAAGAGTTCCTTAATTGGTCAGATATTTGAATAGGGAGTTTACAACGATTATGTATATAAACCATGGATTGCGGATGCTATGTATTGGCCATTGACAGGCTTTGAAGCCCCGGTCGGCCATTTTGGAACTCCCCAGTAGGAGCAGTCCTCCATCGGAATGAAGGGAATTCTGCAGTATGTATTTAAATATTTGTTTGTTGTTGTTGGGACAGTAACATTAGTAATCTCAAACAAATTATTCTTTAAGGAAAAGGTTTTTATTTTGTATTTTTATTTGTATGTTTAGCTCACATAATATAATGTAAAAGTATGCAATAAGGTGTCTGTAATAGAATAAATGTGGCAAATAATATTTTGTAAACGGTGAGGGAGTGCCAAGATGGAGTCACAGTGGCTTCAACACAGAGACCCCAATCAGTCATCTAGTGTATATATAAATCATTGGCTTACAACATGTGCAGTAATAATGTGACATCTTGCAAAATGGAAATAGATGGAGGTCTGAATCCTAACTTGACTTGAGTGCCCATTGATGTCAATGTAAGATTTGCAAAAACTCCAGTTACTCGCACAGATCTCAAGTTAGGATTTGGGACTTGAGCACTACACATGTAAATAGGAGTACATTTCTGTGTACTGAGTTTGTATCACATCATGTTATCTACAATTTAATGGAAGACTTAATAAATGCTGAGAATCAAGAACCTCTTCTTCATTGTAGTATCCTCATTAAAGTGACAGTTCACTCCAACATCATAGTTGGTATTTTTAGACCTTAAACGTAGTTTAATGAAGAAATACACTATATATACAAATGTATGTGGACACGCCTTCAAATTCGTGGATTCGGCTATTTCAGCCACACCCGTTGCTGAAAGGTGTATAAAATCGAGTACACAGCCATGAAATGTCCATAGACAAACGTTGGCAGTAGAATGGCCATACTGAAGATCTCAGTGACTTTCAACTTGGCTCCGTCATAGGACACCACCTTTCCAACAAGTCAGTTCATCAAATTTCTTCCCTGCTAGATCTGCCCCGGGCAACTGTAAGATTTGTTATTGTAAAGTGGAAACTTCTAGGAGAAACAACGGCTCAGCCGCGACGTGGTAGACCACACAAGCTCCCAGAACGGGACCGTTGAGTGCTGAAGCGCGTAGCGTGTAAAAATCGTCTGTCCTCGGTTGCAACACTCACTACCGAGTTCCAAACTGCCTCTGGAAGCAAAGTTAGCACAATAACTTTTTGTAGGGAGCTTAATGAA